TGTAACGCAACGGGGGCTCTGGCGGGCGCCCTTGCCACATTAGGTCGGCCCCTGCACCGTCCGGGGCTCGAACCCGGGACTTCCGCATCTCTCTGCAGCGACCTAGCCCCGTGAGCCAAAGAGAGATCTCTCTACAGCCCAGTAGCTGTGGTCCTGCTATCACAGGGAAGGGCAGTGACGTCACCCGCTCTGGTACGCCGGCTCTTACACACAGTGCTTGTCGGCCGTAAGCGTTACAATATTATGCATTCTGTTATGCGACGGTCCCTGAGGCTTCAGGGCTATCATGGCGAATAAAAGCCGAGCTCCAAACGCAGGTACACAGTGGAACCGCAGTGGAGGCTTAATGAGAGCTGAAGTAATAATGCAAGCTGATCGAAAATTGAGCCGTCTGAATTATTATAATTGATCAGAAAAGGGCTGCCTTAATGCAGCGGAGAAACGGTCTTGTTTGAAGCTGTTTGAACTAACGCAAACGCTCCCTGCGGCATAGGACCGTCTGGAAAAGGCTGCAGAGCCGTAGTTTTGGAGGAGACAGCGGAAGAGAAAAGGCGACGAGGGCAAACTGGCCCCGCTAATTCAGTGCTCAGGGCGGCAGGGAAAAGGTATTCTAAGTAGTAGGTGAGCGTCTCGATACTGGAACGCGGAGCACCAATCGCTCCGCGCAATATCTGTGCACTGAATAAGCGGGGGGGCTTTAAATAGTTTGCTCAATTTCCTGATTGAGATCAGGAGGATCCGCCTGATTGAAAGATTAGTGGTCTTTGTGAAATGAGGCCTGAGCGAGTTCGCACAGGTTCGGAAGGAAGCTGAGAGCCGGTCCAAATGCGCTGCTTACCTGGAACAACATTTGGCGTAACACGTTTTCCAAGTAACATAAAAACAACGTAACTTTTATTCCCTGTGGTGCGTTGGGTTCACAGGTTACTAGCATTTGGTTTAAAATGAGAACTATACAACGAAATAAAATAAACGCCACACTGTTTGCAACATTGGTGATCTTTTATTAATTCAAATCCATTTTCTCAGTGGACATTCTCCTCTTCCTCCTGTTCACTGATTCATTACTTAAGCTTGGAAGAAGATCTCACAACTTTTCCATCTACAAGCTCCTCAACCACTGTCACCACTTTCTTGGTGACCGAAGTTTTTGTTTCCACCCCTGAAACATCAGAGAAAATCATTATTCATCTTTAAATCTTTCCAGGTGTGTGTTTGTGTTCCATTTAAATGCTAGTTTAGTGTTTTTATTTATCATTTCAATGGAAATTACATTTCATGTTGCACTGTGCATATAGTATTATATTCTAATTATAGTATTATATTCTAACTTGAACATATCAGATCTCAAGGATAGGCCTGGCCAATACTGGAATGGAAGACTTCCAAGAAAAATCAGTTTGCTGTTGTACACAGTATAGGTAGACCAGATGATGGTGCTATTTTCTCAGGTTATTAAAAATCCTGTTGCAGTGTTTGTACGAGTAACACTGTTAACCCCAGGGTCCTGGCTAAATTGCACTCTGGGTTTGTACAATCTATTCTGCTTAAAGTTCCCTCTCAATTCAACTGATTATGTAATTTTCACTTTTTTACCTCATCTGCTGTGTAGTGGGCTGCTGGTGTATAAGGTGGGTGCTGTACCTTGGTTTTGGATGAAGTGAATCCCTTCTGATACATAAAGCACTTTTACAGTATACAGAATTTTAAGGTCTAGTACGTTGGGATGGAAAGCAGGATATAAAATGAAATAAATTATTTCATTTAATTGTTTCTTTGTTGTATAAACATACCTGATTTCTCCGTTATTAAGGAGCTCTCGGCTTGGGAACTACAGAAAAAAAAAAATCACATTTAATATAAAGCAGAAGGTACTGTCTGTAACCGAGTAGTTTTCCTCAGCAGACAGACTTTCCTTGAATAGAGTTGTACAGGAGGCAGGGAAATTAATGATAAAACAATGACACCTTGTGGACAGCCCAAAGAACAACCCTCCTACCAGATCAAATTCCAAATGTCATTCTTTCACAGTAATATCCTGAGCGGATTCACTGTAACACCAGTTGCACTGTTGTTAAAATGTGTAAATATGATTTAGTTTAAAAGCTTTTCATACAGGATATGCACAAGTGAAACTCTTGCAAGGACACAAAATTCATTTCTAATTCCTAGTCTGTCTAATGACAGAAGCTGAACAACTAATTTTCTATCATCTTAAGGGGACCTATGATATGGATATCGTATGGATGTGGATAATTGAATTAACTCACAAACAGTATATCTTTCACTGTTCGTGAGGTAATTCTAGTCTTTTTGAAATTGAACTTCCAGATCATCGCTTTTTGTCTGAAAGGTTTTGAAAGATGGTTGCAAACCTGACTCAAGAAAAATCAAACCCTCACACTTTACAGGAGCAGCAGTAAGACTGCCAAAGCTTAGCAGATCAGACTTTTTGATCATTTCTCACATTTAACAATTAATATTTTTTCACAAGTATTTAATTCAACACAATATGCTGGATGCTGCATGCATGGTTATTACCTTATGTTGAGCACATTTGCATAGAAGGGTGATGAAGTAAAGTGATATTTGAAAAAAATATCATCTCATTTTGTACATTTTGGCTCAATTTGTACAATTTGTATAGGGGCCTGTAACTCATCATTAATCCTATTGGGAGTGTTTCCCCATTCTTGCATAGTTATTGGCTCTGAAAGTGGATCCCGATAGAAATTCCTCCCCTTACCCTGCACTCCCCCCATCCAGCAGGCGCCTGTACTCCTCGATCTCCTTCTCCAGGCGGGTCTTGATGCCCAGCAGGACTTGGTATTCCTCGGAGACGCGCGCAGTGTCAGCCCTCAGCTGGGTCAGCTGAGTCTCCAGGGAGGTGACCAGGGTCTGCAGGCTCCCCATCTGAGCGGAAAAGCGGGCCTCCGTGTCGGCCACTGTGCCTTCCAGCGACTGTTTCTGCAGAGAGCCCAGGCACGTTACTCCCCAGAGATTCCTTATCATGAGATGAAAAAATCTAAGGGACATGCCGATAAAATCCATGCATTCTGTTAACTAATATAACATCAAACAACAATTATCTTTATTTTTATGCCACGCCAATTTGTAATTGCTGATTTGTTGTCAACTCTTTGTACCACAATATCTCCCCTTCATCTCTGGACAGGAGAGTGACATTATGAAGGAATGTGTCGTTTCTGTCCTGGTTATTGATCTCACTGTGCAGACAGCAGAGCTAGAGGAGCTCTGGCTAATTGCACTGCAAGCGTTGAGTATAAAGGTGTGTACTCTGGACAGCCCAAACCAACCCACACCCAGTGAGCCACTGCTGGGGGAATCCTAGATTCCTGTATCTTTTGTAGGAAAAGGAAAAGAAAAAAGAACTAGAAAGGTGCTTGTATGAGTGCTACCCTGCTGTACTAGTGTTATTGCTTTAATGCACTGAATGGGACCACCCTCTGACAGCTAATGTGTACAAGCAGGGGACAGTGATTGTGTAACTGTGTTCTTGGCTTTTTTTCCTAATTTGCTACACTGTGCCATATATAGACTGAAATACAGAACAATGCTGTTTAAGAGCTTTACAAACTACAAGACATGTTATGTTTAACTGTATGTTTTGCAGTTGAAGTCTCTTATGTTATATTTTCACCTTTCTATGGTGACCCATATCTTAGTGCTCTGATAGCTGTGTGTGCAGTGGGCAAGAAATAAATACAACAGCAGTAGTATGGTATTATAAAACACAGCTTCGATCTGTAAGCTAATAGTCCTGCTGGAGTCCATTATTGCTTTGTTTGCCCAGTCTATTGTGAAAACAGCTCAGCTCTTTGTGATCCAGTGCCTGATGATTCACTCGTGTTCCTTACCGTAGCATAGAGGGACTGCAGTTCCAGCTCCAGGTTTTGGAAGCTCTGTTTGCCTTCTTTCAGCTCTGTCGTGCTGGTCTGGAGAGACTCAGTGCTCTCCTTCACCTCCTTCTGAACCACCTCTGCCTTTCAGGATAGTGGGAAATGCAAGTACGTCACATTCTGGTTTAGGATTTTCAACAGCGTCAAGCAATTACATTGGCATGGTGGCTCTAGACCCATGAATGTTGCTTCCTTTTTCTTTTGAAAACTTGTCATTTTTGATGCAAACATGAAGAACACAGACCCGAGGGTACAGATGGTACCCTCTTAATGCTCCATACCGATGTTATCTTGGATGGCAAGTTACAGCACATGGAAAGTATAATAAATCCAGACTGAGATACTCCATAGCTTTGAGCTATAAAATAATCTAAAATTATGTACTAGAAAAGAAATGAATAGTGTGGGAGCATTCAGTCTGATGCCAGGATATGCTCTCTGGTGGAGACGGCGTGAAACTATTTGCCTGCTGCTGTTACCTTGCTGTTGAACCAGGCCTCTGCATCCCTGCGGTTCTTGGCCACCAAGCCTTCGTACTGCTCCCTGATCTCCTCAATGACCTTGTTGAGGTCCACTGCAGGAGCTGCGTCCACCTCAACCTGGATCTGACCGGTCAGCTGACTGCGGTAGGACTGAGATTCCTGAAAGAAACAAGATGTAAGCGTGGGGCGTGGAACTCACAGCCATGTTGCTGAAGCTGACACCCTGGCTTAGTTCAAGAAATGGCTGGGTGAGATCTTTGGATCAAGAAACGACTGCCAAATTAGATGGCATCTTCTCATTTGTAACCTTTATTATGTTTCATTCTGCTATACTGTTGTTAAGAAAACCCAGAACAGTGTTCAGCAACAGCGGAGTCGGGTGGCAGTGTTCAGTTTACAAGACAGATACGTACATTCAGCTGGGCTTGGAAGGACAGAGATTCCTGGGGGAAATAAAGAAAAACAGAGGTCAATCAGAAGATAAACAATGCCTGACTGTCTCCTTGTCCTCACCTCCTCGTGGTTCTTCTTGAGGAAAGCCATCTCATCCTTCACCCCTTCGATCTGCATCTCCAGGTCAGTTTTGGCCAGGGCCAGATCACTCATCACCTTCTTCAGGCCAGCAATGTCAGCCTCCACAGACTGCCTCAGATTCAGCTCATTCTCATACCCGCATGCCAGAGAGAGATGGATGAATACACAGGCATGTCTGGGAGAGAATATATGTACTGACATTCGTATTGTGTGCACAAGATTAGGATAGGACGGAAAACTCACTTGACTCTGAAGTCATCAGCTGCAAGCTTGATGTTGTCCATTTGAATAGCTAATTCAGAATTCACCTTAAGAGCAGCCAAAATCTGTATAAAACACCAAGTAAATAACAACAATAGAATTACACTTTATTGTTATTGTCCTAACTCTCGTGATATTTCTGCACTCCACAAAAAATTGTCTTTAAATGTAACACTACTTTGTTACACTAAGAGGCAATGTATGTACTACTGAGCAGAACGGGGAGACAGAGGCAGTTTTTGAAAATGTCAGGTATCTTCATCTTTTGCTGTACCTATAGTATGCTTTTAAAATATGACATAGTGCAAAACACTTATGAAAGTATTATATAGACTAATTTGTTTCTGTCAATTTTACATGTGTGCATCTTAAAAATGTAGTGTTTAAAGTTTATTTGTTGTTTTTAAGTGCTTTGGAGTACAATCTGATTTTTCAGTAAAAAGCAAGGAACCAACAATCTGTAGATTGTAGCTTCTATGTAAGTAAAATCATTTAAAATGCTATATTCTATATATAAAGTATAGTGTTTATGTGTAGCATAATGAGTGTAGACGTCTGGTTCGCCAGAACAGTACCAGGGTGCTTAAAAAATGGAACTCATTTTGAGCCAAGTGTTATTGTAAATTATTTAAATAATTCATTTAATTATCTAAACATATGAACATTCATCTTATAGCTCACAAAAAAATAATTTGCTTGGTAACAAATTACCCATTAAACTTGCTTAATTAAACGATGAATTACAGATACTTGGCGCAAACAGCGCAAACAGGAGGTTGATTCCATGCTGGAAAAATGGAAATGTCTTGACTGCTGAACCTTCCTCGGGTGTCTTTTCAGTGTGGAATTAACCTCAGCTGGTTCCCTTGCTGATACAGCTCCTCACTTGATCCTGACAAGACGATGAAGGGGAGAGAGCTGGAGATTTTTGGGGGGCTCTGAGAAAAACTTTCCTCGTGACGTTTTTTTTCTCCTCTGGTGGATTTTCTCCTCTGCATTTTCACAAACCCCTGAACATCTTTGTGAAACAACACTCCTGCTGCTTTAGCATGGCTGCACACCTGCGAGCACCACGCTCGAGCTCGCTCACCTTGTCGCTGAGGTCCTTTATGGTGGCATCGTGGGTGCTGTGATCCCGCGAGGTGACGGTACGGCTCACCCCCCACTCTCGGATCTGCTGCTCCAGCTTGGCGTTGGCGGCCTCCAGGGACCACACCTTCTCCAGGTACTTGGCCAGCCGGTCGTTGAGGTTCTGCATGGTCTGCTGCCCGTTGTTGAGGCCGAGGGCTCCGCCGCCGTCGCCGAGGGCACTCTCCAGAGAGAAGGCGCCGAAGCTCAGCCCCGCGCCAGCAGAGCCGAAGCCGCCGCCGCCTGCAGCCGAGGCGGAGGCAGTCGAGATGCGGGTGCCCCAGACCCCCGCCCCTCCATGCACACTTGGGGTCCTGTGCGCGGCCACCAGCCCACCCGCCCCACCACGGAAGGACCCCGCAGAGGAGCCCCAGCCCCCAGAAGCTCTCTGGGCTGTTGAGACACGAGCCCCTCCCTTGATGGAGAAGCTGCTGAAGCTAGAGAAGGAAGACATGGTGTTGAGCGATCGGGGCCGGCAGGCAGGGCAGAGCTCAGGATACACCCGAGACCCTCGCTTCTGCCTGTAATTTATAGTTCCCATCATGGGCGGGGGCTGTGAGTTTGACAGGGGCAGCGTGTCATTCAGTTTCTTCAGGAATGCGCTGGCAGGTATTTACCCCACGGCGAGAAGCCTAATCCAGAACTCCCACTGTATAGACTTGCTTCAATTCACTCTCATCTCTCTTCTTAAATTCCACACTTCTCACTGCATCCCCTTGGTTGTCACACCTGCTACCCCGAGCGTTTCCACTAGCATGGTAATCCCCTACCATATAAAGTGTAAGCGAGTATTAAAGACAAAATGTTTTTTTTTTCATCTCAAATGCCTCATCTTGAAAGTCAAGATCAAATCAGTCATCTGAGATTATGCGTTTTTGGACGCTTTTCTTTTCTGTATGCTCACAGGTCATGTAAGTTGGATCTGGTTCTT